CCTAACAACAACAATCCGGCAGGAATTGTTGGGCCTCAGAGAAAACCGAAATATTTTCAAGGAGAAATATGAGTTCACACACCAAACCCCTTGCTAGTCGGATTGGGTAGGCTGGCAGAGATTCAGGGGGCTCTGACTAAACACTCTAATAATATAACAGCAGAGAGAGGTCTTGTTAAGAATGGGGTCTACTACATGAGCTCTGGAGTCAGGCTACTTAGGGTTAGACCTTGGCTAGAGCATTGACGATCTCTAAGACCCGAGGCTACAACCTCATCTCTAAAGTGGAATAAACATCCTCCTGGGGTATGGAGCTGTAGGATCAGCACTGGACTGCTAACCACAAAAGTCGACAGTTCAAACCCAACAACCGCTCCTTGGAAACCGTATACAGGGTTGCTATGAGTCAGAACTGACTCGAAGGCACATAACAACAAGGATAAAACATGAGAGCGAGTGTGGTTACAAGAGTCTCTCTGGCAGATCCCTGCTCAACGCTGCTTATACAACGTCTTTACTCCTCCAGTCAGGCCTCAGGGATGTTCTTGTGTGCCGAGGAAAGACCTGGCCACAGTCTGGATGGTCGTATTTACTCTCCAAGTGCTCAGTGTTTTGCAAATACGCTGTCAATGGGAGGATAGCATCATTTCTGTCAACTTAGAACAAACTGTTTTCCAAGCCTTTGAGACTTTCCTCGGTCACTCCACTGTCCCTTCTCTAATTAGTAAACTTTCACCTACACTGCAGAGCTTAGCCTGAATAGCCCCTTTTGTGACTTTCCCAAGCAGCAGTCTTTCTGTGTACTTCACACTGTCGTAATAACAGTACAGTTAGGTTTACAGTTCTGTAGGTCAGCCCCACAGGCACTGACCAGTGTTGCTGGCTGAACGACAGAACATAGCAAGGTCCGGGATGAGGGAGGGATGCGTCCTGGCTCCAGGACACCCCCCACCCCAAGGCAGTGTCTCTATCTATCCAGATAGATATGAATGAAAGGGGGGGGGGCTGAATTATTTCTTCCCTTGTATTTCTAACAGCCTCTTTATAAATTTGGAAGAAATAACCAATTCTCATTAAGAGTACTGTCAGCTCCTAATTAATTTTCCTGCTCTGCTATATTGGTTGCATCGCCTTATAGGACTGTGGTGTCCCCACTAATGAAACTCTACGCCAGCAAGGAGCTGGAGTTCCCATACTCTTTAATTTAGGGGGACACATTAACACTGCTCCCCATCACTACGATCACTGGGGCTAGCTTCCTCCCCTCCTGGTGGTGAGACGCCTAGAGGAACTTATGCAGCTAATTGCATATTAGAAGGGCTTTAAATTTTTCAGTAGGAAGGAAGCGAGGAAAAGAAGCTTGCATCTTCGCAATCTGGATCAGTGTACAGAGCAGGGATCGACTTACAGGCTTTTCAATGCTCCCTATTAAATGTTTATATATATATATTCAATTTTATTTAAAACATTTTTGTTTTTAGGGGGCAAAAAGAAGAACCTACTACAAATTGAGTTTTGGGTACCGCTAAGCAAAAACAGTCAAAAATGAAAAAAAAAAACGTGAAGATGGACTGATGTGACCAAGGACGGGAGAAGACTGGAGGCTGGGTGTGAGTGACTGACCCCTTCTTTGACATCTGAGCTTGACTGAGGTCAAATGAGTAAATACTGACTAGTCCATGGGCTTCCCCTGGGTGCCAAGCGTGGGGTAAGCCACTGTTTTGATTCCATTTCTACATAGGGGAAAAGTGAGGTACAGAAAGCGTAAGTAACTGGCCCCGATCATCCATTCAGACAATGACAGAGCTGAACCCTCCTGTTCTGTAGCGTCGCTGGTATTCCAAGTCTACCCACTGGACCCAGGGAAGCAAGGGCTGCCCGGAACCCAATCCTGCAGCCAAGAATCCCTCACCTGGAAAAGGAAAAGCAGTCTTCTCTCCATCTAACAGCTTTGATTGCAATCAAATTACCAGTGTAAACAAGATTTATTAGGCTTTTAATTACCTTTGCAGCACTGATTTGCATGTGGACAATGTGCTAATCACAAATGGCTGTTGCAGCTACTCATTAAATATCTGGGAGAGGCAGGCAGAATCTTCAGCAACAGCAAGGCCAGGTCAGTGCAGGGCTGGGAGGAGAGCCTGCCAGGTCCCTCCCGCCTCTGTTCTCTGGTGCCCTGGTTCTGGAAACCTGAGCATCTTTTGCAGAGTACAAGAGCAGAACTGCCACACCGCAGTGATTATTAAAACCAGGAGTGGGTCTAAAAACGCTTCACAGACTCAAAATCTTTACCCAAATGTGTGGGCTGAGTAATACTGTACTTTTAAGAGTCATCATGCCAGCCTCAGAAATGACAGGGGCCGCAGGAACCTGGCCCTTTCCTGACACTTGGGTATCAGCTACTTTCCCATGAGCAGGGAACCACTAGCTCTGAGAGCCAGGGCTTGTTTGGAGCACAGGGTCAGAGTGGAAGAACTCAGGCCCAGACTTGACACCTAAGCTTATATTATACTCCCACTCTAAGTTGCAATGGACAAGATTAGGACACCTGAATCATAGAAAAACAATAGTCACAGGGTTCTGCTGTGAACAACCTTCTCTAGGGTTCCTGATTGAGCTCTCTCATTCTCTCCCGTCCCCAGTCATTTAGAGCTGGTGGATACACGAATCCGGAGGATCCTAGTGTACCCAAAACCCACCCTGGACCGAAGTCTCTTTAATGAAAGGGAAGAGGGGCCGGGGCATTCTTGTCCAAGTCATTCAAAAAGCTGTTGATGAGGATAGTCAGAATGAAAGGCTTCCTATCTGTAAAAAGTTTTTGGCTTTCCCTTCCATTTCCTTTCCTGTCCGGGAAATTACACTGGGGACTTAAAAGGTGGTGGGCTCAGTGGAGTTTCCTGGAAATGAAGGATTTCCCCAGGGGAAACGCATGATGATGACAAGTAGAGACCAGTTACAATGTGCCCTTGGGTGAGTTGTGGGCTTGGAGAAGGACTAGGGGTTGTGGTCTTTATTTAACTGATAAGCATTTCTCTTTCTGGTCTCAACGGCTCCACTAGAAAACAGGTAACAGAGTGAGGTGTGGGTCAGATCAGTGATCTCCCAAACAAATGCTCCAAGTCCAGTGAACAGCCAGACTCCACCTCCCGGAGCCTGAATGATAAATGTCCTGCTCTGCATTGACTGGCTATGTGTTCTTGGGCAAGTCACTTGCCCCCTCTGGACCCAGTTTGCCTCCAGGGCCTGACATTCAGGGTGGGACGAATAGAGGGGTGTCCTCCAGTTCAGAATGCCTGACATATTACTGTGTTCCTGCAAGGAGACTTAACCCATGGAACCAGCCAGTCAGTGATCAATATTTACCAAGTGTTCCTGCCCAAACCAGTTCTCCTTGGCCGGCTGCCCAGAGCCACCCAGAGGTGGTGGCAGTGGTGGTGTGCCGGCCAGTGGCTCTTGGCCACAGAGGTCTTGGGAAACCTGTCTGAGCCCATGGGATGCACCTGCCCAGCTCTAGCTGAGCTCCTTCCAGCTTAAGGCCCCATGTCTTCGGAAAGGCTTCTATACAGACCGGTGTTCCTCTTCCTTCTGAGCCCTGAGCCCAGACCTACCCGTCATACCCCTATAGACCCACCGCCTCAATCTGCCAGGGCCCAGTTATACCTCAGTGAGTCCACTTCCCCAATGAGATATTTAGTCAGCTCCTGGAACAGACACCTCTCCAACTTGCCCCTCACCTCAACTCAGCAAGGACCTGGCAGAGGGCTGGGCACAGTCCACATCTGTGGCCCTGCCGCCCAGTCTGAGCCAGGTTGCTAGCCAAGGGCTGGAGAGCCTCATCCACCATCATCCACAGTGATCCTGAATGCCTCAGGTGAGGGAAGGCCGGGGAGGACAAGGTATGGGAATTAGCATCATCACATTAATGTGGCTGGCTGGGCTAGATCAATGCCTGAAACTCTGATGCCTAAGGTAAATCCAGCGCCCACCTGTGTTCAGTGGCTGGAGGCACTTAGCTGGGTCAGGAGCAACGAGAGGAACATCTCCCTATAGCAGAGGTGGTGATGCCCCCAACACCCAATATGTATGAGGGTGTTTTTATTACAACGTAGCACTAGAAGAACCGAATCCTGCGTTACAGACAAATATCTGCCCAGGTGCCCACAGAACCACAGTGAGAGGCTGTACAGAGTCAGGGGTCCTTTGAGACAGGACCCCTGGGTGCTAGTGGTCTTGCTGTTATAGGAAGAGCCTACAGCAGAGGCAGTGACCATAAGCCACGAGGAGCCTGCGTGGGCAGAAGACCGGACCTGACAAGCTCTCAGGACCTTTGTGGTCCCGAGGATCAACAAGCCTCTAATCTGATTTATAAAGTACGGCTGCCACCCGCTGCCTGGCGGAGGTCTGCGATCCTGCCAGGGTTGCCTGCAGCGTGCACCAGGCTCGGGAGTCTCCGCTGGGCTGGATAATGAGGGCGGAGCACTGACTGCAAGTGTCCCTCTTGGTCATTAATGGGGCCCCGCTGTCTGGGGTCAGCCTGAAGAGTGCTCAGCAAGAGCATCCCTAACCCGGCTCTAATCGCGAGGTAATTAACTGGGGACTTGCCAGTCTGGGTCACATGTTCTTTGTGAGGCCAGTTCCTCGTGGCTGGTGGTCCCACCCCTGCACAGCTCTGCCCCACTCACTGGGTCCTACCAGGCCATCCTGGGTGGGCTCTGTCCCTGTATGCAGGTGGATGACCTGCCAGGTGACCGTCAGGAGGTACTGGGAGCCCCTCACTTCTCGGGGTTGACCCAGAGTTTAGAATTTCTAACTCTTCCAGAAGTCAAGAAGCAGAAGAGGAAAAATTGGCCCCGTGAAGGGGCAGTTGGTCAGGATGGATGAACCCAGTTTTGATGGAGGAGAAACAACGTTCACCTGGGAGGCTTTCTCAGAGGCCTCTTACCAGGCGCTCTCCCGAGGAGCCCCTGCGCACCCCGCCCCTGCGGCACCCTTCCGCTCACCTGTGTGACAGAGTGGGTTTCATGGAGTTGAGGGGGGGCTGCATGGGGAGTTTCCCAGGGGGGTCACTCTGGCGGCTCTTCTGATGTCGGAGGAGTAGCAGCCGGCCGAGCTCCTCACACCAGGAGGACAGCAGGGCTGCAAGCAAGGACATCATAGTCAATGGGCACCCTCGGCCAGCACGTCCCACACACCCCATCCCCCCGTCTCCCCACATGGGGTGTTCTTGCTCTCAGCTTCATGGGACACTAAGCTTTCTCAGCAGGTTTAGTGTCTCAGCTGTAAAGCAGGACCGGTACCCCCAAGGTGTATTGTTATCGCTACAAGAGAAGATGAGAGGGTAAACGTTTAAGGGTGGTTCCTCTCAGGAGTACTGGTCAGAGGTGGCAGGAAGGGAAACCCAAGACCATGAAGCGGTTGCAGATGGAGCCAGGCGAGACTGACAGCAAGCAAGAGTAGGCAATGCCTGCCACCCCAGGCTTCCCTGGGAAGCCCACCAACTCCCATTCAAGACAGTCAACGACACAGGGCTTCCCCTGAGTTGGGGTCACGGCATAAAACCACAGCGCATAAACCAGTCGTGGCCACAGCCTTCTTGGGGTCTGTTAATGGCCCCAGGAGGATCACTGGGCTCTCCCACAAACTTCCTACCCAGAAAATGCCTCCTGCACCCAGGACCCACCCATATACCTTCCAGTCAGACCCACGGTCACCCCCTTGATGGGTAGGGTGCTAATGCTTGTGGGGACAGAGGGCAGTGCAGAGACAGGGGTGTGGCTGCAGTCTGCCAGGGAACAAATGCATGAGAATCTTCCAGATCCTGAGTCTTCAGAACCAGAGACAAGAGCCCAGGATGAACTAGGGCCAAACTGCTGTCCCAATGCGGCCACCGTCTAGTTCTGGACTCAGAACTGACCAGTTCTTCCAAAGTACTTGACAGGAGGGTGTAGGGAAGGTGGGAGACCTGAGGGCCTCAGTCTGCCTGTCTGTCAAGGGGGAGCATTTCCTCACAGAGCCAGAGTGAGCAGTGGACGGGAGATGCCGACTGTGGAAGCAGAGGGCTCAGCATACCTAGCCAGTGCTCACTCCCACAGGACTTCGGCAATACTGTCTGTTCTAGAGGACCACCTGGCTGGGGCAGCTAAGGGCGTCTGGAATCAGTATTGCTGGAGTCAAGACCCTTGCCCTCATCTTAAGGCTCAGGGGCCACGATCCCCTTTCACAGAGGGGCACATGGAGACTCACAGTAATCAAAGGCAAACAGGGCAGAGAACCTGCCTTGTGTCCAAGGCTGGAGCAGGAAGTGTGGGAGAAGTCTCCGCCCCTGTGATTCACTGAGGAACACTCAGGGTCTCCTCCGAGCCCCATTCGGCATCCGTCAGCTGCCTGGGGGAAGACTCCCAACCTCGCTATGTCCGTATCATGGGGACAAAGTGGGCCCATCATCTTGGGGAGGAAGAAGCAGCTGCCCAAGTTTCTCTCCTGTCTCTCACTGGTGGGAGAGGGGTACCCACATCCTGGGTGGTTGCTGGGGACTGATAGACAAGTGTGGGGTTGGAGAGGGGTAGCAGGGGTCATCCTCGGTCTGTTGGGTAGTTGCTTGGTCTGTGTGGTGTGAAAAGCGGTGAGTCAGGGCTGGAATCCACCTGTGACCTACTCCCAAGTCTCCTCCCCTAGCTGGGGGCACCAATGGGTGAGTTGGGGCCTACTTGGAGCTGAAGGCAGATGGGGAAGGCATAAAACTGTCACAGTCCCTCTGTGGGCTCCCCTTCCCACCACAATCTACAAAGGGAAGAATGTGTGAGGGGAAAAGGCCCCACTCTGGCACACCCTCTGCCCAGAAATAGTGACCAAATGCCCTTAAAGTGAGAGCCCAGCAAACATCTGCAGCAGGAGGAATGGAAAGCAAGTAGCCTACTGAGAGGCCGGAACACTCAGAAAATGGACTTCCGGATTGCCCTATTCTTCTCCCAGGCCACTGTTTATGGCTGCATGTGTGGGGGCACCAAGCACTCGTAAACTCATCTGCACAACCAGCCATGTGAAGGAGCCAGAGTTTGGTGATAGGGTGGGGACTGGGGGCGCTTGGATTTGGCACAAAGGATGCTGCAGATGGTTCTGCTCGCAGGCGCTCTGCCTGGGAGTGGCCATGGAGGGATCTCGGTCACCTTCCCTATTGCTGACGCAACAGTTGTCAGCAGGGGGATAGGAGAGGCTGTCTTGTGTCATGGCTGTTTCCCAGTCTGCAATGCTGGAAAGCAGGTGAGGCGCGCACGCGTGCACAGAGGGGATACCAGGAGAGCCACATTTCATAACCAACAGGGAAAGAGTGGAAAAGAGGGTAAATGAGGGAGGGCCCCTCCTGCATGACTGCTTAGCACAGCAGACCTGCTGGCAGTCTCGGCCGAGCCCTGTCACATGGCAGACGGGTGGGCGCATGTTCTCATGACGGCATAAAACAATATGGGTTGTTCTGAGGCAAACGCCTGTTAATGACAACATGTGGGAATTTGCAGTCAACACGAAGTCTGGGGCCCTGTCTGGGAGGCAGGCTGAGGCAGGTGTGGTGAGAGAAGGCCAGTTTCATGTGCATCATTGTCCAGGTTTGGTCTGTGCAGTCCTGGGGGCATCAGGAGGGGGAAGGGAGGAATCCTGGCATGGCATGCAGAGTGGCCTGTGCTCCACTCCCAGCTCGGCCCTCACAGCCAGTCCTCCACCCTGTGCTATAGGACTTCCAGGGGCACAAGTCAGAAGGACTCTCCAGCCTCAGTGTGCACGCACCATGGCCCTAGCTTGAAGGCTGTTCTCTCCTCTCCAGAACAGTGCCCCGCCTGCCTTCTCCTGCCCATTCCACAATGGTACCAGGATCCAGTCTAAACCCACACAGCTGCCAGCCACCACGGTAGCCCCCCTCCAGCTCCACTCAGCATTTGGGGTGTTGACCAGGGAACAGAGTATGAGTGCACAACCAGGAAGGTGGGCGTGGGGCGGGAGGCGGCTGTAGGAGCAGGCCCTGGGCAGGTGGGGGCTCTTTAGGACTGACCACAAGAGCGGATGGGACCATTTCCTACTGTGTGCAGAGCCCTGTTGGGGAGGGGTGGGGAACATCCAGATGTTTCTAGTGCTGCACATGACAATGGCCCCCACTCCATCTCTCTCCCAAGGCAGGGCCAACAAGCAGGAACCCAGGCATCTGGGCTCTAAGGCTGGCCCCAGGTTCCCTAACCAGTTCCTACCCATCTTTCTCCCCGGCCCTGTCCAGGGCATGCTAAGGACCATGTGGGGTCCTTCTGCTGATCTTACAATGACACACTGAGACTAGGGTCTAGGGAGGACTACTTCGACCTCAACCACAAACTCTGACCCAGGTTTCCCAATACTGCTCAGACTTCTCAGCATAGAACGTGGGTAAGCATGCACAACGCAACATATCCAAAACGAATTCCTGAGCCCTCCCCAGCCCCTCCTAACTGCCATTCTTCACTTAGTCTGCCTTAAATCTCAGCCACCAACATGTCAATCACTCACCCAGTAGTCATTCGACAACAGCTGACCAACACCTGCGGTGTGCTGGGTCCAGTCCTCATTGGACAAGATCAGTGTCCTGCTCAAACCCTTCTCCCATAGACTTTTCCTGTGGAAAAGTCCCCAACACTTGGGACTCACATGGCAAGATGGTGAGGCTGCCCTATGTTTAAGGACCCTGTGACGTGCATGGTTAAGAGCAAGAGGTCCCAGCAGGCTCTACCTGCAGTATAGTATACGTAGGCACATAGCTACATCTCCTTGGGCCGATGACACCACTTCTCTAGGCCTCAGCTTTTCCCTCTGTGAAATGGGCAGTATCAGTGTTTGCCCCTAGATTACCAGGCAGTATGGGACCTCCTGTTGTAAATGGCTTTGTCAGTGTGCGTGGGCACGCTGGGTAGACTTTGGAGAGCGGGTGGGACATCTGTACTTGCAGAGTGAAAGACCCCTCACTCTGAGCCTCTGTCACTTACAGGGCCACATACGTTCATGCCTCTCTGCTTCTGCCTAGTAATTCCTTCCTTGTTTATTTTCTCATAAAACTTCTTCAAGATACTTCCTCCTGGGGGATGTCCCATCCCCCAACCAGTGCCAACGCCAGCAGGGCAGGCAGAGCTGTGTGGAGCACAGCTAAGCACACTGGCTAGGGCCCCACAGATGGGGTTTGAATCTTGTCACAAGCTGCCTCACCTCTCAGCTCGTTTCCCCATCTGTGAAATGGGCTCAACAGGCCTGCTTCTGAAAAGCTGTGAGATGTAAATTAGCGCAGTAGTTATGAGTCGGGATACTAATCTTAAGGTTAGCTGTTCAAAACTACCAGCTGTTCTGTGGGAGGAAGACTAGGCTTTCTGCTCCCGTAAAGATTTGCAGCCTTGGAAAACCTGTATAGGGTTGCTATGAGTCGGAACTGACTCCGCGGCACATAACCACCACCACCACCAGTCTATAGCAGATGTGTACCAAGAAAAGGCAGAGGGAGGAAGTATGGGGAGAGGACCACAGAACCTGGTACCTTGTACCATCCCCAGAGGAGAAGCCCCTCGGATCTTAGAGTCACACTGTGTCTATGGGACAGGGAGGGAGACCGACGCTAAGCCTTTCCTGCTATGTCATTACCACCTGTCTACCTACGCCTCAGTTTCCTCACTCTAAAATGAGGATGACTCTCTCCATCTCATTAGGGGAGTTGTAAAGAGTTGCTTACTTGGTATCATGAAGTAACAGGCACACAGCAAACATTACTCAGATTTGAGTAGTTAAAGTAACAATTTGTGTCACTGACCCTGTTTGCTGGATGAGTGACCAGCAAGAAGACATGGAGGCTTGCGTGGGTGTGGCTTCTCTCCATCATATTGACCACAGGACAGAGGGGAGAACAAGTGTCCTGGGTGGGCACACAGTGTCTGCGAGCCCTGGACCCCAAAATAGGTGACCAGGACCATTTGTCCATTTTGCCATAAGCTTTGCCAATAAGGTTCCCTACTTCCTCCTCCTGGTCTTCCTCTGAGTCACAGTGGACAGAGCAAAGGCCACATCATTTGTTTTGTTCTGCCTGAGACACCAGGAGGCAAGTCCCCTCCGTTCCCACAGTAGGCAGGCAGGCGTCTGAG